AATCTCCATGGAGTCTTGCTTAGAACTCTTGGGATTTTCTTTATCTCTTCCTCTCCAGTTATTGGTGTTTGTGTAATAGCTCCCAGCCCAAACTCAATTACCATATTACCTGAATTTTAAGAAAAACTGGAAAAGAATCTGGATGAATTAAGTGTCTTATCATTTAATACAGATTCCCGCAAAATGAACACGAGCAGCCCAGAGAGACACAATAGAAACAAGACAAAATTCCAAGCACAAAAAAGGGCACAAGAAATCTTTGCAGATGATAGACCATTAAGTCCACCTAGTAGTTCATGGTCTCAACCAGTCATCTACACATCCTTATCAAAGTTTGTTACTAAAAATATAATGTAATTGTCTGGATGAATTCAAACCCTTCAAATGCACTGGCAGTCAACCAGTAATCTTCTTTAGAATCAACTATGAAACATGAACCAGATGACACAAGTAGAAACTATGTGGATGTGCATTTACTGTAAAACAAAACAAAAATGATGCATGTCCTTACACAGAGGGTTGTGGTACTTTAGCATGGAAAGAGCTTCCCTGCCATACTGACAACCAGATGCTAGCAAGAAGACATAAATTTTACAGCAGAGGCCCTGTGAGGCAGAAAATCATGGGAAATGATTGTTTAGGCTGTAGTACATAAATTAGCAAATTTATGTTAATGTGTCAGAATGTTTTCATTAGTTACCAGTGTTTTCTTTTAATATGCAACATAGGTTAAAAGTTCAGGATTTATCTGATGACCTATTGTGACATTATGATTGTTTAAAGTGTTTAATAGGTCACATAAAGTGTATGAACAAAATAAATCATAGATAATGTGAAAATACTGTACAGTAACTTAAATTAATAATCTAATTGTCCAGAAGATGGCAGTGTTCCCCTTCAAAGCAAGCTTGTTCAGCAACCTTCCCCTTACCACCCAGGAGAAAACTGTAACCACTAGAGCAGAGGTTGCATGAATGGGCTGAACAGTGGTGCCGGTGCAGGGGGTCTTGGTTCTGCTCAAGCTAAATGATCAATTTAGCTTGATCAATGATAATACAAGCAAAATCTGTTTTAAACCTTAATGCAAAGCAAACATAAGAACTTCTTTATGAGAGAAGTCTTAGTCACATTCCTTAACAGATCAAATATTTATAACAGATTTAGCACAGACATCTAGGATGTGCGAGTCATACTGGAGTCCAGGACACTGGAGTCCGAATGGCTTTATGCAACCACAGATTCAGGTGACGTACTATAAATATGTGGCAAAGATTCATGGTATGATTCTCCAGTGGATATCTCTACAGAATTTAGAAATAGGGGCTTTATGCCAAGCTCTAAGAAGAAATGCTCCTACAAAAACACAACTCAAATTAGTATCTGCCAAATTGCATACCACACAGGAGCAAGCCTTGCTGCTTCCAACCATACCCAGACTTTAAAGGAAATTGATAAATTAAGCAACTAGGGGGCACAGAGCTCACCTTAGGCAAAATCTGGGGAGGTATGTGATAAAAAAAATTGCGGTGAGTGATTAGACTAAAATAGTCTGTAAGCAATAGAACTGAAGCAAAAGCCTATAGGCAGCTCTACGTGGGTTAAACTGGAAAATATACATTTTAAGGGCTTAATAGGTATACAGTATGTTACGAAAATGCAATATAGCTCTACTAGCTTTCTTCAAACAAACATAAAGGAGAAACCAGAACCAGGATAAGGGAGTGAGACATACCTGGAAGAGGGTGAGCGGTGCCATAATTGAGCCCTTTTTATATGCTGGCATGAAATATACACACTAATGTAGTTACAATGACAGGTGAAACCAGTCTTCTTTAGTTTTAATCAAGGCATGTGTTAACAGAACCAAAAAGTCTGAACTCTTTGACTTCCATCTCCACTTTTTACTAACTGGGCAGGTTGTCCCTATCGTCATCCCTCCCTGTGTTCCCCAGTCTTATTTATCCAAGCTGTTTCCCATCCCCATCTCCCTATTTAAGCCTGGTACTCAATAGTTCTGGGCTCAGCTTTGGAAGATGGACGTCTGAAGGCCGTCCATCTTCCTCCGGGCTCAAGGGTAGTCCGAGGGCAAGGCCTTTTCCCCTGATGTCCTGAGCTTCTGAGTCCGGGGCTCGGAGCACCTAATCCCGTTATGGTTTTAACCCTCCGTTTTCCTGTCTTCGTCTCTGATGGATCTCCCGGCACCTGGACTTTGGACTGCACCCTGATTTTCCCCATTGGATTTCCTTTCGGACTTGTTCGCCTGCTCTACCCCTATGCACAGTCTTCACTGCCCCCCCTGCCCGTCATCCTGTCTATTCCCTTCCGTTTCTTCCCTGTTTTCCTTCTCCAGTCACTTCCGGATTATACTGTTCTGCATAGGGTCTTTTGCTACGCATTACACGGGAGTCAGGACCGGCTCCAGTGACACAGGTAAGCTGTTTAACAGCTCCACAAAAAACAAGTGTCTCTCAAAACTGCAAGTTTCCCTTGGGCAAAGTCTGGTAGATTTGTCCACTGCTTCTTGGTTCCTTTCTCCCATTGGCCTATCATGTAACAAAGACTTTACTCTCTTCTCAAAGAGCAGAAATTGACAGCTAACTTTGAGGGTCAGCTTCCTGGTATTTAAGTGTCAACAGACCAATTGAGCTCCATCAGTTCGACATGTGATTGAGGATAACAGGTTATTCCCCACAGCTTTATGGCATCTTGTCTCCAACATCTGAAGCTTCTCAATCTACAATAAAGACTAAAAAGAGTATATCAAGTCCTAAGATGTATGTTTTATTTTTAAGGGGTTTTATTTTTTATTTTTAATACATTTTTAATATTTTTAAGGTTATGTTTATTTGATCAAACCACTGTCAAAGCAGCGTAAAACCACCAGGGGGATTTATTAAAGACAGAAGAATAAAAAACACTTCTCTACACAAAAAGCGATGGGTGTATACCATGGGTGTAGTGGTAAAGACCCAGCTCTGGATTCTTTTAAGAAACAGTTCAGTTTTCGCTTCATAACATGAATATAGAAGAACACAGTTTATTAATTGAATATTAATACAAATATACATGATTTCCAAAACAGAATAGGATTTTATTTTTGTATTTTGTTATGAATTTTTATCTTAACACCAGGTGAAATTATCTCTCTTGAACAATTACAGTTGGCATTTGTACACATTCCTACCCGTTTCTCCCTGCTTCTCTGTGTTACCTATACATCGTACACCTGTCTAATACTTTGTATTTATTTTTAATGCTAGGAAAAGGGTTACCTACCCTTCTTGCAAAAAGCTTTTATTGAGGTTTCCTTTTCTTTCATTGGTCTCACTTCTATACATTAATAAAAATGATAATAATTAATAATTGCTTACACTTATATAGCGCTTTTCTGGACACTCCACTCAAAGCGCTTTACAGGTAATGGGGACTCCCCTCCACCACCACCAACGTGCAGCCCCACCTGGATGATGTGACTCTATCTCTACTCATACTGTACATCTACTAAAAAGCACAACAGCCTTACAAAAAATACTTTATAAATACATAAGCGATTGGGGGACTCCAATCTGCATGATCTAACACCTCTTCATAATCACCCCTTTCTACCTGCTCTTAAACATGGTTTGACACAATTCTGATATAACAAAGGGATCACAAATTTTTGACACCTACTGTATATAATGATAAGGTTCTTCTGCTTTTTCAACAGCTAGCTGCCAACTTTCCCAGCCCAATACTATTTTTTAGAGATATCTTCTAGTCAAACATTTCATACTGTAGATACACAGTAGGGAGGTTGACTTCAGCCAATGACAAAAAAACTATTCAATATAAAGGATATGAAGGACTTTGCTTCATCTACAGAATTTGTTTGGACTTTAGATATAAAGGCGAAAAGTTGGAAAATATATGTTCAGGGACTTTGACGTTTTCTATTAATGCTAAACATCGCTTGCTTAAATTTAACAATCTTACTCTGAACATACTGCATCTCTCCACAAAATGAACTCAAAATGGTCAAAGCATTGCCCAAGATGTGTGATAGAGACAGAAACCCTTCCACACATTTTGTTCATGCTCAAAGCTTAACAACACAACATAGCTGTGACACTTTCTCTAATGACCAAATTAACCATCACTTTAAATGCTCAGCTTGCTCTGCTGGGTGATGAGACTCTGCTGCTATAGCTTACGTGTTATGATGTTGGTTAAACAGATATCTCATACATACTATGTGAAAAAATACCTTACAAATTGAATGGAAAATCCTCAGTTTTCTCAAATTTAGGGTAACTTTCTTGACTTTGTAAACTCTTTTAATTATACTCAACTGCATCAAAGTACATAATTTAAAACCTTTTCTTTTTTCTTGTCCCCAAATCATAACTCCTTTTTTATTCATTTACCTATTTTTCCAATTTCCAAAGGGATTCTACATAGGATTATATACTGTATACCCCTCTATAATGTGCTCTGCACTGTATACACAATCATGTGTAGGATTATTGGTTTTCTATTTTATATTTGAACATATGTATTCTTAATTGTTACCTTTTTTATTTACTTACTTACTTTATTTCCTTACAGTAAACAGCCAATAATAATAATAATAATTAATAATTGCTTACACTTATATAGTGCTTTTCTGGACACTCCACTCAAAGCACTTTACAGGTAATGGGGACTCCCCTCCACCACCACCAATGTGCAGCATCCACCTGGATGATGCGACGGCAGCCATAGTGCGCCAGAACGCTCACCACACATCAGCTATCAGTGGGGAGGAGAGCAGAGTAATGTAGCCAATTCATAGAGGGGGATTATTAGGAGGCCATGATTAGTAGGGGCCAATTGGAAATTGGCCAGGACACCGGGGTTACACCCCTACTCTTTTCGAGAAGCGCCCTGGGATTTTTAATGACCACAGAGAGTCAGGACCTCGGTTTTACATCTCATCCGAAGGACGGCGCCAGTTTACAGTATAGTGTCCCCGTCACTATACTGGGGCATTAGGACCCACATGGACCGCAGGGTGAGCGCCCCCCGCTGGCCCCACTAACACCTCTTCCAATGGCCCGTGATGTATTGATTACACTCAGTACCAGGGAGGGGAGGGAGGACCCATTTGTCATTGTGAATCATATTGTCTTTTGCCTTCATTGTTGTGATAAAATCCTTAATAAACATAAAGTAAAAAATGACAAATGAAGAAAAATGGTATTTGAAAGTCTGAACTAAGTAATTGAAATTAACTTAACTAAGATAAGTTAATTTGAATTTTGAATGCCACAAGACAGTTGGCTTGGCTTATGAACCTTTGATGGTTCTGTTACTGTGATGGACCTTTGGTTATTTGGCAGCAGTGTGGAGTAATGGTAGAGATCTGTACTTCACTGAGATGTGTTAATGAAACTTGATAATGTAATTGATCTAAATGTAAGCTGCTATGGATAAAAGCATTATCCAAATTAATATCTGAAAATCTATTCATAACTGTCATCATAAAACACACAGCATTTTATTTTCCACACCACAGGATGATTACCAAGGTACTGTATATGTAGTTTATAACACAAAACACTGTATGAACTACTGTTTACAGGATTGTTAATAGTGCCAAGGATAAGTGGAAAACAAATGACAAGTATCAACTTTATCTAGGATATCATAAGTTCACTTAAAGAAAAAAAAAGATTTTGGAAACAATGACACAAAGTAGTGGAACATCTAACAAACAGGAACAATGTTTTGAACAGCTTAAGTCCAAATACCTAACTATAAATAACACTAAATAAATATTCTGTAAGAAAGTATGTTAAAGTTTCACAGAACTAATATTTATGTATCAAACACAAATTTTAGAAATTCAATTAAAACTACAATCTATGAATTAACCAATCTCCTCTTGTGAATAAATCTACGTCTAAAAGAAATTTGCTTTAACACAAATGTTACTGTAATTTATTATCTATAAAGTGAATGTACTGTATGAGGTTCTGAAGGTCAGGAAGTTTTACACAGATACACAGGGCTGAATAGAACTTCAACAGTCTAGTTAATAGACTGTTAAACAGATAGTTAATTTTATCAAATATATTGTTATAAACAGCTGCTTATACATTCATATTGGCAGTTATAAAAAAGGGAAACTGCAGTAAATATAAAAAGATTCCTGAAGTGATAGCACCCTTGAGGAACTGGACAGAGCTTAATTTATTTTTTCTTGCATCATCTGGGCTGTCACAACCAGTGTGTTTCTGACTAGAGAGCTGGCCACTGCTTCTATTTTTTTTGATTCTTGTCTAAGGCAGTATTGGAGCCACAATAAGGGGTGACAGAATTAATCAACTCTGCGGCAAATTCACTCTTTGGCAGCTCCATCGGCATCTTGAAAACACCGGACCACTCTCCTTGATGTTGAAGGGAATCAAGAGTCTTTGCTGTTGAAGTGATTTGTTCTGGATGGACTAGTAGTTGAGACCTTCCTTGAGGTTTGTCAAAGTGTACATATCCTGGAGGACAAAATACAAAGAAAGCTGCAATCAAGTGAGAACAGTCTAAATGTCTGCTACATTGTTTTTTTTCCAAAGATGAGTTACGCATCTGGGATGTGATCATTAGGTTTATGCTGATGCTGCATATGCTGCATAAAACAGTTCCCCCCTGATTTCATTTAATCTTTCAGTAGAGAGTATTCATATATTTTTTTGCTATTCACAGTTGAAATCTTTAGTATTCTTTCATATGTACAGTATAACAACAAAACAGTATATAAAGGCTTACCTCCTGGAGTCTACGTTCTGTGTTGTAAGATGTTGCTAGGAATGGGTACATTCCCATTAAAGGTTAATAATGTAATTATTTTAGATTTTACAGGGGGGATTTCAAAACCTGTTGCTCCAGATCACAGTTCACTCCACATTTGCTTAAGGTAACTGTAAAGCAAATCAAAGTTATTCAAATAGTTTAAAGCTATAAATATAACAAAAAACAACAGACACAAATACGTTTTTATTGAAATATACATTTAGAAAATTATCCAAGGCCTTAGAAGTACTAGAGCAAATACTGCAATGGACTTTGCTATTCTTCTAGCATCTTTTGCTGTCAACTGTCATCATTAATTAGACAAGCAGACTTCCTTTTTTCATGGTAGGGGGTAAGGAAATATTGTCAGTTTTTTATGAACGCAGGACCAATGTCTCAAAATCATAATCCCTAATTATAAACAAGACTGTCTGATAAGTCAGGTGCCACCCTCAAACAAGAGGTCTATCAATATTATTGAAAACAGAATATGCAATTCCACATACAGTACTTTAAATGTCATCAGTAAGATCAAACTTGGGCTTCAGGCAGTGTTTACAGAAGGCTATATGTTATTTTTCAATACTAATAGAGGATTTCTATAAAGATTTAGTACAAAATATGTAACTTGCTACAAATCTTGTTTGTAGCTTTTTTTTCTGAGCAGTCTTATAAAATCCCTCAACAGAGAGAAAGTTTTTCTAACTTTCTATAAATTAAATTAAAGAGTTAAATGTATTAAAACAGAAGTATACTAAGAAGACACACCTCTGCTGAGTACTGTAGAGCTTCTGTTGCTAGACTCTCAGGAATACCTGCGTACAACAAAAGTGAAAATCTGAAATATGGCCACTACTCCTTTTAATCTAGGTCATTAGAACAGAAATGGGTTGAAAAAGAGAGGGGTCATTTGACCCACTTCCTCACTTGATAGTTTAAAGGGGAACTGTAATCCCAATTTCTCAGACAGGTTATTAAATCTTACTTATAAAATAAATTCATTAATGGTATAAAAATATTTTAAAAATTTCAAAATGACGTTTTTCTAATTAATTTAATAATTTTAAAAAATCAGGTAAGATCAAGAGTTACAAGAAATTACGATGTGATGCAGCCCCTTCCTGCTCACTAGTCTCTGTAATGACTAATGTATGCGATGCACAGCAAATAAGTACAGGTTGTGCAGCAGACATTTCACCTCAGAATACGTGATCAGCCTGCAGAGTTAACAAGTACTATCAGTAGCATTTGTAAACAAAACCATCTTGAAGTTGAGAGCGATATTTTTAGTGGATTAGAAGAGACAGAGACAGAGATTTGTTCACAAGCCTTGATTCCTTATTAGCTTTTTGCTTCATCTCACTGGAAGTTTTGTTGAGCCATTTTGAATCATAAAATATGGCACTGTGCATACCTGAACTTTAATCTATTTTGTGATGTACAGTAAGTTGGAGATTTTACTGTGCACATTTTATTTTTATTGTGGTTTGAAATGCACTCAAATCTGATTCTTTCAAACCCTAAAATATAAAAATAGTGTTGCAGTTCCCTTTTAAGAGCAATTTCAGGTGGCAGAAGTCAGTGATCTTGAGTAATAACTGGGAGTTTGTGGGTTCATATCCCATATACTGCTATTCAACCCTTGAGCAAATTATTTCAAACAGACTGCTCTAATAAAAACACCCAGATGTATAAATGGGTGCAAATTTAAGTATGGATATTTATAGCAAAAGTAAATAAAAATACAGTATATACTCATAAGTAAATCTAACGTTTTACTAAGTAAATCTAAGTTTTACCAGTTCCTTAGTGCAGATAAGGATAAAAACTCAATCACCATTTACAGAAAATACATCAACACACCAACTAACTCCACTTATCCCAATGTTGTTACTATACCCTGAGACCCTTCCCTTTCACAGGATGAGCGCTCTCTTCTCAGCAAAGGCCTCGGTTTTGTACAGTCCCCAAGATGCCATTCATTTCTCAATCCCAAGCTAACTTTAACCGCAGGATCTGGCTCAGAGCACATTTTGTAGATTATTTTATTTTTAATCATTGCAATAATCAAGCATTAATCAAGCTCTCAAGACTCTTTTCATACTCATCAGACTCAGGTCTAACCTCACCAAAGGAGTATTCAGGCATTCCAATCATTCCAAAATAGAGATGATATTGTCATTAAACCAGCAGACAAAGGCGGTGCTGTTGTGGTGTGGCAAAAGACACTTCTTCCTATCGTCCTCTTCCAAAGGATCCTACCACTGCCAAAAGGAAGTGGTATTGTCAAGCCTTATGAGACCACTGGTTGAAGGGGACTAACCATGCTGTCCAACGTTTTAAAGATTTCCAGTTTCAAGGCCCAGAATGTCTAATTTTTATTATGAACATCACATTCCTATACATCGTCATTCACCACAGTGATGGTTTTATGGCCCTCAAGCACACGCTGGACAAAGGCACAGTGTTTGATCCACCTGTACACACTCTTGTGCATCTTGTGGAATTGGTCATCACACTGAATACCATCTCATTCAAAAACCTTTTATTCAATAACCAGCAGGTCAGTGGAGTTGTCATGGGCACCAAAATGGGACCCAACTATGCTATTATTTATGTTGGCTGGGTAGAAGAATGCTCCTCTGCTCACTACCACTGCTTTGTCCCTGACCTCTACAGGCAATACGTCAATGACTGCGTTGGTGCCACCACACGCCCTAATGACTGGCTAGAGCATTTCCTGCATCATTTCACCAACTTCCAACCATCCCTCAAGTATACTCAAGATAACTCCACTACACTTCCATTTCTGGACATAAACCTATTCATTAACCATCCATGACTCTCTACTTCTGTCTAATAAATACTCTCTCCCTTTTTCACAGCTCCTCAGGCTCTGACAACTTTGTAGTGACGACATGGACTTCCATAACCAAGCCCTCAAAATGCACTTTTTTTCCAATAACAGAGGATACCCACCCTGTTATCGAAAAAAGACCTCTCCTGAACCAAAATTACCTCTAGGATCCTAAACCCAATTAGGAACTCCCAAACTCACAACTGCATTCTATTCGTGCTTCACTACCACCCCAACATCCTTTCTATTCCCAGGACCATTAATAACAACCTCCCCATTTTACAGGATCATCCCTCCACTGGTACCCTCTTTTCTGACCACCCCATCATCTAATCTGCGTAACCTTCTTGTTCACAGCAATCATCCATACCAGGCACTTGCTCCTGCAATAGAACATGCTGCATCACCTGTAAATATATATTCAATACCATGCACATTCAAGGCCCCTCTGGATCACCCAGATCACGTATTTCCAGCAACCTTGTTTACTGCATCTTACAGAAAATGCCCAGCTATTTACATTGATGATACAGGAAGGAGACAGTTTCAGGGAACATGTTAGTACTGTGGGGATCAAGATTTCTACAAACCCATAGTTTCCCATTTCTCATCGATCATACCATCTCTCTGTCTGTGTCCTCATAGAAGGGTTTTGGAACTACTGTTGTAGAAAGACATCTGAAAACCAAAATTATCCTGAAACTAGGATCACACCTTCCCCCTTCTCTTAACAACAGACTTGTTTCCTTCTAATCCTCTCTAATCATTTGCAGGTTTTGACTTCACACCTCTCTTCCAGTCCTCCCTGAGTGTCAATACTCCTCTCAACTACCGTATCCTTTGTTCTCCTAATCTTTAACAGCCTCTGGTTTCCCTCTCTCCCTCAAACCTGAAGAAGGTTCATCAGTGGAAACAAAGTCTCTTTTCTTTTCAGCATGGAATAAACCTTTACTTGTTCCTTTGGAGCCTACAATGCTGATGCAGCTACCTACTTGAAGTTCTATATTATAGGAATGTCATTTTAGCTATAAATTGTATTATTTTATTTAGGACACAGGTTGTATTTCCCTTGTTAGCCTGTTAAAGTGTTGCATAGAATTTCATTACAACGAAGGCATTCTGTGTTTCTGAGTGTCTAGAATGTAGGCGTCAGTGATGCATACAGTAGTTTTGTCTACAGTACGAGTCAGCAACCTACAGCATAGGTGCCATTTGTGACACCTAAAGGGATCTTTCATAGCATATGCAATGAAAGCGGGGCATACAATAAAAGTGTAATAAGCCCCAAAGGAATGCCACCAATGAAAACTCTTTGGCATACAAAAAAATGTTTACAAACACCAGCCACTGGTGTTCAAAGTTGTAAAACTATTTAGTGTTGTGTTTGATGAGTGTGTGGATATAAACAACGTACTGAACTGCAATTAATAATTCTTCTTCATATTATGAATCAGATGGAATTCAATTGTTTTAGCTAGCGCTTTGCTAACTAAAACACATGCATGGCATAACTACAGGTGACGATATAGCTAAAAAGTTTATTAATCATTTGAAGAAAGAGGAATTGACACAAAGAAAATATATTTAATGTGATGACTGAGGGTGCCCCAGCTATGCTCGGAAAAAAAAGGGATTCATAAAGATCACTACACATCACATTAGCTACTGCTACTATTATTATAAAGAGAATAAGCTAACTCTTGGTATGCTCCTTCTGAAAGGTTGCCAACCGCTCGTCTATAGTGTAATGTTTTGTGCAGTTAAGTTTGTGTTTATTTTATTTTAAATAAATATCTGTCCTAATTTGCCTCTGATTTTACTACTGTTTTGCCAGAGTACCAGAAAATGAAGAACTCACATGCACAGGTACATTTTTGACAATCAGATTTATTTTCCAATCTTTATTTTCCAGACCCCCCAATTTGTAACTATACTATACTACATAAATTAGGTATTACTAGTGCATTATGAAACATATCCACAACTTCTTAATTTTAAATTAGAAACATTTTGCTTTAAGAATTCTGTTTACTTTTTTGCTTGCATCACACTGTATGGGTATGATGTAGAATAATCTACATAAACACCTAGATTTCCCGTATCTTAAAATCATTCATGTAATGTGTACATTTTAACAATGACAATTTCAGTTCTGTATTCCCCATCACAATATCTCAACTTATGTGGGCAAAGTTAAAATCTCTTTATGAGGGGAAAGTAATATAAAGCCATCTTTGCTATTCAGATTCCTGATTGCAGCATAGATGTTACTTGTAGTACGTTTGTGCACAACAGATGTTCTTAGAATTTGTATTTTCCCAGTTTAGCCCATATACTGTAGCTTGTAAACTGCCTGTACTCTCTTGCTTCAGTATTATACCTTGCAGGTTATTTTTGATATATAGTCCCATACCATCACCTCTTGTTATTACTGTATTTCTGAAAACATAATTATATATTTGTCTACATCATCATCCCTAAGCCAGATTTCAGTTATTTCCTAGTTTCACATTAATGCGGCAGCCTTAAGTTCTTATAAGACCTAGCATCACAGAAAATGGATAACACAAGTGTTTTATACAGCTACCATATTTCTAATTATAAAGGTGAAAAACAAGATTCTAGCTCCAAATTGTTTCCCTATTACTTCAGTTAGATGAGTGGTCTACAGAGTTGCAGCATATACAGTATATTAAAAATGATTTGTTTTGTGTACAGCATTAAATGTCTCGAGTTTTTAACACAGAAATGTATACCAATCTTAAATGAGGTATTTAAAGTTTAAAGATTTTTTATATACAGTATCTTAAGAAGGACTGCATACTAAAATTCCAACTTTTGAACATATAGTCCTTTACCAGTCTATTTTCAAGAATAAACGATATTAATAACATTTTAAAATGTAGATTTGTTTTTTGGTGAGTTTTTCAGTACGGACATACAGTACATTTTGGATGACTTGATTTAAATTTATAGCACTATCGATTCAAGGGACATAAGTGGTGAGTGACCCTGAACTATAAAATAGTTTGAAAATACTTGAATAAATTATTTTTTAGACATTTATACTATTCTCTGAAGTGAAATAATATGTTAAACCTCTTGATTTCACAAACACTATAATTTTTTTGAAAAAAAATATTTGTATGGTTTTCATACTCACTGGGAAGGGGTTCCCACTTATTCAGGCTCAGAACGCTCTTTCCTTGCACTGTTGAAGTTACTCCAGTAGGGGACTCCACAACATTAGCTTTCAGTGACTTCACCTACCGAGGTAGAAAAAGATGTTTTATACCACAGCCTACTATATTTCTTTAGACTGAACTGTATAAAGAAGACATATGAATCACATAAGCAAACTAAAGAAGGGTGGAAATTTTATAAATTACTTTTGAAAACAGCAAAAATGTTAACATATTGCTTAAATCAGGGGTGCCCAACCATTTTGCGTGGCTGGACTACATAGACCCAAAAGCAATCTTACACTGCCCAAATAGGGATTACTTTTTCATATAGAATTTTAAAATGCTAAACATTTTTAGTATTTTTGTATTTGCTGCATTTAATTTTATGATGCACCATTAACTGTTTCCTGTGTGTAAAACATTTAACATACAGTAAGTTATAACATAACTATCTTACATGTACCAAGTTATTGAGCACTCCAAACGTGTTTTTCACTAACTAATCCCTTAAAGTGGGTGAGATACTGACATCCATAGCACACCATGTACAGTAGATTGTCATCTGCCAAGCACAACCTTAATTTGAATGTGCTCAGGCTCATTACTGAGAACATTCCTTTGGTAGATATTGGAATGAATCACCAGGAAACAGGGTGTAAAACACAACCAGTTTCTACTCATTAAACATACATTAATTACTAAAACTAATTTTATTAGTTGCTGCAGTACAATCAATTCCAACTTTAGAGAGGTGAAGTAATTTTACTGTATTGCATTGTATCACACAGGGGAGTGAAACACTGACTTTTTATCTCGGTGCAGTTCTTCACTAGAGCTAAAGTGAGGCAGAGTACTGCATATTATCGGAAGAGTTCAGTTTTGCCTGAAAAAAATTTATGTCTGAGAAAGAGTGAGAGAGAAAGCTTTTTTACCTGAAACTTAAAAACGGAAGTCAAGTGATTTTTTAAGTCTGTCTGAACCATAACATACTTCAGTTATACCCAGTCTGAGATATTTGGTCTAGTTTACAGATATCACTACACTTTTCTTACATTAAGTTCTAAATTTTAGGGAAAACAAGTGTTGAGGACATATGCTTGAATGAATCATCTTCTGCCATAAAGTTTGAAATTGATTCTGTCTATTTGCTCAGTATATTTACTGTCCTAACCATGATTGTAATGATATTCTCAAAACTCTAATCTAAAGCTAAAATCTTTTAAAATTAAAGTTACCTTTTTACTAGGTACAGACACATGAAATAAAAACAGAGAAAACTAAAACTGACCATTATTATATCTGACGTTCCTGGAATAAGTGACTCTTCTGTGATGTCTTGTTGAGCAGCTGCAGAAACACTAGATGCTGCAAATAATGATGTGACATCCTGAGAATCTGAGGGAAACAATTTTATTCAGTTATTTTGTTTTGTTCTTTATAGGATGTAAAAAACACATATTGTTGGATATTGGGGGTGTAACAATGCCACAATTACATATACAATTATAATAGATTTAATTACAACCATTGATGGGTACTCATTAAGTCAGCTTTCTTAAAGCATCAATAAAGACAATAGGATAAAAGACCATGTAGACATAAAATTGGAGAGAAAGATGGGAGATAGAAGAGAGTAGGAGAGCCATAGAGAGACTGGAGAATCAAATGGACAGTGAGGGTGTCCTGCACAGTCTGTGACTACAGAACTTCCAGGTAATTTCAACACTAAAGAGACTATAGCCATTACATACAGGACTGTTGATTTTATTAGAAATCTAGATCTCCTATTTTTGGTTACTTTTTGAAATAGGGAAAAAGGTACACTATTCCACATAGGATATATTCTTAATACTCCGGTTCAGCATCTGTTTTAGGCAGCGATTTCATCTTAAATTGGACTGTTTATTTATAAAACACAGGTTACATCTTTTTCCTTTACTGTAGTTGTTCCTTAAGTTGCATTTCTTTGTGTTTGTACATGGAACCACAATATTATAAAAATCTGTAAAACCTAGTAATAATCAGTGTTAAAGTGTTCATTCATGTTTTTAATATATTTGTAATAAACAACTGTCATTTTTGCCACTTGGTTATTACTTTGTTACCACACTGTACCAAAGAACAAAGAAAATGTGCTATATTACTGCTCACTATTCCCAGATGACCTTGGTGGTCTCAATTGTTTACTTTTTATAATTTGTTTACATAGCAAGCTGGCATCAGGACCTGATATTGATTTGCTTATTTAGAATTTTAACAATCCATCATTTTACATTTTAAACCTCCTATTCCGTAACAATGTTAAAAGACACAATCCACTACACAATAGAAGTTTAGCTAGATGTTTTGTAAATCAAGACATTTTAAGTTAGAAATGAAATAAATATCTAATTCAGTTCAAAATATTTATAACTATCATTGACTATCATACAGCATGTAAAATATCTGCCTCAGAGTAGACCCAACCAGTAGCATGCTCAGTTAGCTCCTGCCTCTCATTTTATAAAATCTGATAGCATCCTGATTGACTCATTATTCTGGTCATCTTTTCAGAGACCTATTTAGTATCTTGTCACACCCAGTTCATTGACCCTCTCATTGTTTGCACTCTTGGGAGCATTCTTTGAAAGAATTCAGCATGTGCAGCTGTTTTGCGGTGGAGCAAAACACTCCAAAACATGCAGCTATAACAGCCAGGTATTTCATTTTATTTGCCTGCCCCACCCATATACCTAGTGCTTAAGAGGTTGTTGAAGCTTCTTAATCTCTTCGATTCTTTTAGTATATAACTTTAAATGAATGAATAAATACTTCTTTTATTTATGCATATACAAAAAATACCAAAATATATAGGAGACAAGTGATCTATTTATAATTAAATTGATTGCGTATATAAATATAGCATTCAACAAATACTGTATTACAAAAAATGTAAATAAATCTGCAGGAAATTAAATGAATTCAATTCAATTAAACTTTATTTGTCATTATACTTACACAGGTGCATAGAATAGTGAAAAGTGTTTCTCATTAGTCTCTCAGGTGCAGTATATACAGTATACATGTACAGTATAGAACAGCAGACAGGACAATAGACAGAAATACTATAACAATAACAGTGTAAACACCAGTAATGTGCCAGTGCAAATTGTCAAAACTGTGTAAATACACAGAGAAAAGTATACAAACAGGACCAAAACAGTGCAAAACTAATACGGCGAACAGTGCAGAAATAATACAGCGATTATTAAAAAGTACAACTTAACAGTTTTCAGTACAGTTTCGGCTTACTACAATTTCGGCTTACATTTAGTTGTTGTGTATGTAGTGGTGTAGGAGTACAGTTATTATGGGTACAGGAAGAAGTGAGGAGAGATCATAGTATGATGGGAGGGAGTGGGGGCATCACCAGCTTGACAGTTCTGGGGAAGAAGCTATTTTTGATTCTTGTTGTGTGCGACTGGAGCATCCAGAACCTTCTACCAGATGGTAAGGGGACAAACAAGTTATGACTGGGGTGAGTGGGGTCAGACATAATTTTGGTGGCTTTTTTCAGACTCCTGGTGTTGTAGATTTCCTGGATGGATGGTAAGGCACTGCCAATGATGTGTTGGGCAGTTTTGACCACCTGCTGCACTGCCTTAAGGTCATATAAGTTGCAATACCAGACTATGATGCAGCTGGTGAGTATGTTCTCCACTGTACATCTGTAGGGGTTGGTGAGAATCTGTGGATGCAAACATATTTTCTTCAGCCTTTTCAGGAAGTACAGCTGTTGTTGTGCCTTCTTGATAAGACTGGAGGTGTTGAGTGCCCATGTGAGGTCCTTACCTAGGAATCTGAAGTTATTCACCATCTCAACCGCAGTCCCTTCAATGTACAGATGCAGCCATTCAAAACGAGCGGGCGATACCACATTATTTTGCAGTGCGCTTTACGCAGTCTACTGCGAGTTACCATAAATTCTCCTATAATACCGCAAGTAAAATAACAGTATCCGGAAATTCCGCAAGGTGGAGCTAATAAAGCTCAACCTCTCATGTTTGAGCTGTCGCCATCAAAGTCTTTAACAAAGATATACTAATAGTATTAATAATGAATGACCTTGGACAAGCCGTAAACTCAAAGTATTGCCCTGGTCCACATTCTTTTTTTTATTGACCGCCTTTGTAAAAGTAACACCACAGCATTTCGCAATCACGCATTTGTTTCCAATCATGCAAAGTACAGTAATTTTTGAGAATCGATTCACCATGCCTTTCACATGCTCATAAAAGAGATTGATTTAGGAACATAAACATATTACCCTAAACATTTTAAGCATCGAAGATACCGGAGTCAAGAAGCATAGTTTTAGAATTTGATTAAAAGGGAATATAATATGGAATCGCGTATCTAAAGAAACGCGACCTTGCTGGTGGCGCTGTGGGTTAGGTTCCTGACTCCCATATCACGTGGTCTTTGATCGAATCCAGCTGGAGCCGTGACTTTTTTTAACAAACATTTCTTTGAAAAAATGAATGAGTCAGAGATTAAATAAAACCTCACTCGCACCAAACAAATTTATATTTCTAAATATCACAACATGATCGAATTTAAGTCATTTTAACAACAATGAATAGTCACCTAGGCGTTACAATATAAACATTTATATTGATTTAAATCACATTTTGATTTAAATCGCAAACGCGGGTTTAAAAATATGGGTGTTTTTTGATTCACAATCAGACAAATGCAACATAAATTGATATATTTGTCTTTTAAGTATCTTAATAAACTTTCAGCATAGCTTTCTCCCCGTTTAGATTTATTTTTCTTGGGATCTTGGGATCAAACATGAAAAGACTAGATTGTAATTGTTTTTATTTTTTAAATACATTTTAGAAAAGTGTAATCTATACTAAAAAGCTGTACACCACCTGCTATAAAGATACATATTGTAATACTTTTGGGTTCGGATAGGACAGACACAAGAACTCAGACTTGCGGAGTTAAAGCAAATTAAAGCCTTGATTTTATATATCACCTTTAAAAGTGGCATCTCAAAGCAAAGTAAATACCCAACACTGATTGTACCCATCTGTCATGCTAATAAAGCACCTTGAATTGAATTGA